GGGGCTATGTGTCCACAGTACTGCTATCTCAAGTTTTAAGAGACATATGTCTCTACCACTGTAACAAGTATTTGAAAAATTCCCTACGTAAGAGATTTAAATGTTGTTTGTTTTTTTGCGATGCCTCTCGCAGACGCTATATACGTTAAAAGAAAAGTGAAAACAATATTATTCACATTTTTCGACGGTCGAAAAATTTGCTGTGCGACAGTAGTTTAACTCAAATTAAAGTAAGTAATTCATAATATTATCAATTAATATATAGTTGTCAGGTGTGAGAAGCGTCAAATCTTAATTTCGCATAATCTAAAATTGGCAACATGTTGAAGACTGAAAAACGTGGTCGGGGCTATCTGTCCTATTTTTGCTGGAGCAATGTGCCCACACTTCAATGACGCATTGTTCTTTTATTAATAGATAATGCTGCGTAACTACAAAAAAAAGACTGTCCTTAAGACGGATAAGGTAAACATATCTAATAAAATTATACTTAGAGCGATTAAAAGAATAAAAATCGTGCGAGAATTTTTTCGTAAAAACAGCGTTAGACTTTGGAATAAATGTTCGGGCTCTCACTCGCTACTGTAAAAAAGTGACCTACGAGCAGTTACTTGATCCTGCGATTCAAGAATCGTCACTAAATTTTTATTTTAAAAATACACGTCAAGTTAAATATATGAGTTTGTCTTAAATTATTAAGTATTTTCTATTTCAAACGCTGCCGAAGATAAAGTAAAGGTCCCAAATACAAAAAAAGATTAAAGAATTGAGTAGACAAAAGAAACTCATCATATTGATTTTGCAACGGACTCAAAATCAGTTTGATGCCATCGTACATAAAGAATAGTCAGCTCTACGCAGGAATCCTGTTAAAAATCAACAAAGTGCCTACTACCGCTCTGACTCCAACGACTAGACAGTTTTTTTTAATATTATATATTAATAATAAATAATATTATAAATAAGTATAAATATTAATATAAATAATGTGTTTTTTACTATGTGGATAGATAGCTTCTCGAATGTGGACAAATAGTTGCCACATTGCAACGGCAAAATGAGAATGTCGAAAGCGATAGGAAGACAAAGAAATACAGAAATTTAACAGTCAAACTTACTACTAAATTCCTGTACTGATTCAGTCGTGATTGTTACGAAATATATTAAACGCGTTTTCTATCTTTTATGAAATTCGCTAAATTATAAGTCGAATTTGGCCATTCTTATCATTTCAGATTTTAATTTGTATGACTAAATGAAGCCTATAAATATCATGATATGACCTCAACGATATTTCTTGTACAAAAGCATTTTGTAGTCACCATTTGGCTAATTAGCAGCCGCAAAGTAGTAGCGAACTTGTGGGCGGATTAATTAATCGTTCTGTCATCATGGCGATACAATAATGACTATGAGATCAATTCAGAGAATGATTGGAAGAAATTGTAATAGTGTTCGGAGTTTATATGAATCATATAAGTATACATTAAATAAAAAGTTTAATATATTTCTATATAAAGCGTCATTATATATAATGTGTTTTATGCATAATAAACACATTTAAATGGCTTGTTGAGAAAATATTTAAAAATTGACTGTGAGTAATTGTATCATGCAAGTTGAAAAAGAATGAATATCGTATACACTAATATATCTAAAAATTCCTATAAATTTTTTTTCAATTATATGTATTTGCTTTTATAGCAAGAGATAAGAACATTGAATTTGGGTGACGATTACACCTTATCATGCAACATAACTGCATTTATGCTTTTATAGACTATTTGCGTTGCAGTGTATAGCAAGTAACTGTATGTAACAATTTTATTTAAATATTGTAATGAACTGTATTTAACAAATAATAATTTTAAATATCGCATGTGTTTAATTTGTTTAAATAAAAATGCAAGTCATTTCTCTCTCTCTCTCTCTCTCTCTCTCTCTCTCTCTCTCTATTTATTTTTGCTTCGCCTTCAATATCCTTCAGGATACCGTTACTAGTGCAAATTACATTTATAGCGTTTTTCATTGGTAGAACTGGTGCGCACTCAGTGCACATTAAAGTTGTACATACACTGATTTAATCTCTAATATTTAAAGTAAAATGCAAATATTTCGACTGATAAAATTCCTAATACATATTTTACTAATTAGTACAATAAAGAATATTGAGGATTTCGTGACTCGTTTATATGTGTATTAAACATACACTTTACGTTGATTTGTGTACAAGTGCACTTTAATGTGCACTAAGTGCGCACCAGTTCTGCCAATGAAAAGCGCTATTAGTCTGAAATATCGCGTGTATGTGATAATTTTTAAATATATGAGTAATAGTAATTTTTGAATCATATCTATGTTTACACATAAAATTGCGGATGGATATTTCCAGATTAGGAGCGAATTAAGTGAACTCTATATCAGACTTTAACTTATCGAATTCAATATCCTTCAAACGCAAGTTAAATTTAATATAAGAAATATCGAACACATGATAATTCTCAAAAATATGGGTGTGGTAATTTTTGGGCAATATCTGTCTTATTTGGATATAAAATTGTAGACTCATACTTCCAGATTTTCGTCCCTATTTAATGATGCATTATATAGTCTATCTTTGTCAGCATCACTACTCAAAATACGGGTTGATAATGAATAGTTGTCAGATAAGGGTGCATCCCCATGGAGAAAGAAATAGCGGAATGGAATTAAAACGGAATTCCTTTGATTGGCTAATATCCCATTTTGAGAGCTTCCACCTGGAGATTAGCCAATCAGAGCAATTCCGTCTTGGTTCCATTCCGCTATTTCTTTCTCCATGAGGATGCAGTCTTACGCTCAGATTAACTCTCTTACGGTCAACGTGACGCTACAAATGCTTCGAAGCAATCCACTTCTCTTTTCTTTCAATGAAGAAAAAAAGAGAAGAAGGAAAGCATTTGTAGCGTCACGTTGACCGTAGCCTAATAGTGTGTTTCTTCTAGAGATCGAAAGTGAGCCACGTCACAACGACGAAGTGGGGATATCTCATAGTGGAAGGAAATATTTCCTTCCACCATGGGATATCTGTTGATAGGAAGATAAATAAAAGAGGAGTTCAGTTCGCCGCAAGATCTGCCGGTTGGTGACTGTATTAACAGCGTATTACCGTTGACACCTTTTCCGTCTGTGTAGAATTCTTCAAATTGTATATAAGTAGAACTTACCCACTTATATTATTCAAACTAATTCAAGATTGTAAGATATTGAAATTACATCAAATATTTCACGTAAGAGAGTTTTGTGGTTATCGCCCGACTAATTAGTGGCCGGCAGATTCGTGACGCTTTATGGAAGCGAATTAATTAGTTATAGATTTGTCACCATGATGAAGCATTAAAAACGACAAAATTGATTCGGATAATTAATTTGGTACAATCGCCGCATTCAAAGAGTATCACGTTACAGCAAAAAGTATAATTCGGAAAGGAAACTCAATAATGACGTGTTTCATCAATATCGAAATTGTGTATTTTATAAAGCATAATAAATCCTATAATTAATAAAAATGACATTGTATAAAAATTCCGAGAACTGTAATGTCATGCCAATTTAATATACAGGGTGTCCGAAAAATCGCTTACTCCACTTCGAGAGGTGATTCGGGACCTAAAAACAAGCAAAAAAGTTCATACAAACGTAGGTCCGGAAATGAGCCGTTTCCGAGTTATAGCCACTTTTATATTCAAAAATCGTAATTTAGAATCCGCTTGGCATCCCTCTTTCTTAATTATTTCTTAAATTAAAAATTTTTATTTTTAAATATTTTTAATTTTTTTAATTTTTTTATTTTTTTTTAATTTTTCAACATTTCTAAATACGATTACATTATTTTTAAAAGAAATCAGTTGTTTTCACGATTACTTGAAATCAGTTGTTTTCACGCCTATTCAAAATCAGTAAGTAAATCACGGCTTTTCAATAAGTTTCAAATTATTATTTAACAACACCTTACTTTTAGGTTGTCTAATCTAATCTTTCCGTATTCATCAACGGATCGTTTAAGTTTTAATGAATTAGCTGATATGCATCTTATGTATGGTCTTGTTCAAAATAATGCTGCCGAGGCAAGAAGATTATACATCCAGTCGTTTCCAAATCGAAATGTACCGGGAATAGCGTCTTTTCGAAATGTAGACAAAAACTTGAGAGAATTTGGTAATTGTAATTAAAAAAAATTGAAAATAAAAATTTACTATTTTTGAACATAAAAATGGCTATAACTCGGAAACGGCTCATTTCCGGACCTATGTTTGTATGAATTTTTTTGCTTGTTTTTGAGTCCCGAATCACCTCCCGAAGTGGAGTAGGCGATTTTTCGGACACCCTGTATATTTCTTTTTTTTATGCAGAATATTTTAAATAAAAATTTTATTTAAATAAATAAATATAATCACGCTCGTATGCATCAAATACTAAAATGAAAAAGGCTAATAAACGAGCAATATTATTGCTCCTTTATTGGCCTTTGTCATATTAGTAGAAGTTCTACATTTCCAGATTTACATCATTATGTACAATCTGTTTGAAAGTTGCAAAAAAAAGCAAAAAAGTTGCATAACAATGAGAATACTATATGCTATATTTAAAAATGTTTATATGTGCAATATTTCCAGTCATGTATTTATTTGATAAGAAAGATAAGAAAGATAAGAAAATATGACTTGTAACGATTGCGTAAGGTAACTTATACTATTATAGATCAGAGTTTGCGGTGTTTTGCATATAACAATTTTTTTTTAATAAATGGTTTTATATAATCAGTAGCTTTTCAAACTTTTTTTTATCAAACTGTTTAAAATTGATGACAATTTTAATCCAAATCCAATTTCAATTTTAAATTAAATGATCAAATATAATACCGATCATGATTGGTTTTAAAGTCTGGTTTAAATTTTGATTTACGTATATTTAATAAAACCTAGAATTAAATATCAATAAAAAATAAATTTAAAGGGGCAATGACCTCGCCATTGCAACAGTTCAGGCTTAGCCCTGACCTGTGGTCTTGGCCGGTTACCCCTGGTGTTGCTGGGGCAGGTAGTTGGATACAACTTCCAACTACGGCCTTGACAAGGAAGGAACAGGTGTTCATCGAACGAGTCTGGAAAGCATTCGTTGTTAACTTCGAACGCGCACATAAGCGTGAACTTTCCAATATTCGACCAGCTAAGATCTTCGCTGGTTGGCTCATCAAGTGTGGTCATAATCAGGCGTATATTGCACAACAGATGAAGTTACTCTCTCTGTTCTATCGTCACCTCGCGTGCGGTACTCAATCTACAGTGCGACCCGAATTGCCAAGTGCCTTTATAAAATGGCTTCGAGGTCACGTTTGCTGTAAAGAACAGTACGCACATTTGGCAAGTATAGCAAGGTGAAAGCTTATCTCAGTAACTAAAACTATAGTTTAAAAAGATCGAAAAATATTGGAGCATATTACCGTTGAGATATCCTCATCATCCTAGCATTATAATGACGATAAAGACAAAAATAATTAACAAGTGCTCTTCTTTCAGCTACCTGCCTTCCTACAAGCTGATTTATGCTCCCGTCACAGCATTGGGCGAGCCAATTCGATTCCTATACAGTTATGCTGGCATCGAATTTGTGGATGAACGTTTCAATGAAGAAGATTGTCCAAAACTAAAACCGAGTATGTGTACAACTGATTTAATAACACATGTCGTTGTTAGCGATCACCTGTCGCGAACTAATAGAGCTCGATCATTCCTGAAATCTGATTTACGTACGGTTGACGTGGCAAAAAATAATTTTTACATTAACTTCTGGAGCGCCGACTGAATCGTTGTCACATTCTCCTTTATTTCTACTGGACATAAATTATTTTGATGTAGGGATAATGCCATATTTTATACATAATAAGACATTCATTTTTTCATTTAGCTTTCTTGTAAACGACAGAACTGAAAATAAATGTTATCTCTCTCGAAAAAAAACTTTTATTTCTTATTACGTATATACGTATTGCGATGTTTTGTACCGGAAAATTGATATTGTTATGTAAATGCAATGCGTTGTATTCTCATTTAACGAAAAGCATACTGTCGTTTCAGTGCATGGTTTAATGGTAAATAGATTTTCTTGTTGATGGTAAGGAAATCAATTTCGTGTCGTTCAAGTTAGCCAATTAATTATCGAAATACCATAAGATTTGAGAGACAAAAAATCTTCCCTTCAAAACATCATAAAGCTATATAAAAGGCCGCAGAGCTTTTTTATAAATTATATAGCAGAAAAAAATTTGTCATAGAAATGAAAATTAAGATTTGTATTATCAAACTCAGACTTAGAAATGTAATTGCACTTATCTTTAATTGTGCGTGTAATTATTAATCGTCAAAACTCTTAATGTATGCATATAAACATCAATTACTGTATAGGTATAAATTCCAATTTTTGTAAATTTAAATTAATAATAATCTAAATGATTTTTCTATAAACCTTATTCAATTTTAACAGCATCTTGTATTCATGTAGCTTAATATAATTTTTCAGCTATGCCATTCGGCAAGGTACCCGTGCTTGAAGTAGACGGAAAGAAGATCGATCAGTCCGTAGCTATTTGCCGTTACTTGGCGAAGCAATGTGGTCTTGCCGGCAAAAACGATTGGAAGTCTCTGGAAATTGATGCGACCGTCGACACCATACACGATTTACGTGTCAGTGAGTAAATAACAACTGCTCACGCTATATTTTTACGATTACTTTATTTACCAGGCCCGGATATTTACTTTTAAGACAGATTTGAATCACAACATTAATAGATTCACATTTCGACAATGCGAACAGATTTATTCCGAAATAATGATATACAGAGGAGAAATAAGTTTTTCTACATTCGTGTTATAAATTCGATCTACTGAAGTAATTAAATGTCATTATCTTATTTGTCTTATCATATTCTTTTGCTTGCATTAGATATCGCTGGTTTCTACTATGAGAGTAACGAACAGGTTAAAGAAGAGAAACTTAAAGCTGCCAAAGAGACGGTGCCGTATTATTTGGAACGTTTGGACGCTCAGGTGAAGAAAAATGGTGGTTATTTTGTCGGTACTCTGACGTGGGTCGATATCACTTTCGTCGCTCTTTTGGACTACTTGAACTACATGATGAATGAGGACATCGTCGAGAAGTATGAGAAACTGAAACAACTACAAAAGAAGGTTGAGGAATTACCGGCCATCAAGAGCTGGATCAAGAAACGTCCGTCGACCATGTTTCAGAAATAATTTGGATAATTTCATAAAGTAATGGTTTATTTTTCGACAAAATTATAATTATTATTCGTTGACGTTTGATTTGAATAAAATATTGATTTCCTCTTTTCGGGAAATCAAGTTTATATTCATGTACGGCAAGCATGTATAAGAGATTCAGAAAATACGCAATGGAGATACAAGTGTATATTTTATCAATCGTTGAAGGCTTGTTGCATGTATCGTCACATATGGCATCAAGGCGCTCTGCTAAGCTTTATCTTCAGTCGGAAGTTTTGAAACCGTATAGTCATTGACCGATGACATTTAAACGTGTATTTGAAAAATATACACAAATATTGCTTGAGTATCTTGCGTGTTTTGCGTTATCTAAAAATGGATAACCAGAACGAGCATTTTCGGCATATTATGCTTTTTTATTTTAAACAAGGCAAAAACGCGGCTAAAACCTGTAAAAAGATTTGTGCAGTATATGGTGAGGATGCCGTAAAAGAACGCGTATGCCAAAAGTGGTTTGCGAGATTTCGTTGCGGACATTTTTCCGTCAAAGACAAACCACGCTCAGGGCACGTATTATGGAACTTTTCGGAATGGATTCCGATCGGAATTATTCCGTTTTCCCTAGAAAAGACAATAAAAATCTAAAAAATAACTGAACAATTCCGATCGGAATCCATTCCGAAAAGTTTCATAATACGTGCCCAGGCCGACCAAATAAAATCGATAACGACAAATTGAAGGCGATGATCGACTCCAATCCACACTGACACTACACGACGCGGGAAATTGCAGACGTTTTCCTAATATCGAAATCGAGCGTGGAAAATTGTCTGCATCAACTTGGATACGTTAGCCGTCTCGATGTTTGGGTTCCACCCGAACTGAGCGCAGCTCATTTAATCCAACGCATTTCTATTAGCGATTCACTCGGAAAATGTGAGAAAAGCGACCAAATTGAGAGCATAATCTTGCTCGGGTGAAGTCCTGCCTTTGAAGCGTATGGTAACTGGCGATGAAAAATGGATTGTCTACAATAACATCACGCGCAAAAGTTCGTAGGGGCAGCGTAGCGAACCGCCACAAATCGCTTCAAAGGCAGGACTTCACCCGAGCAAGATTATGCTCTCAATTTGGTGGGATTGGAAAGGTGTTGTGTACGAGCTACTTCCGAAGAACAGAACAATCAATTCAGATGTTTACTGTAGTCAGCTGGATAAATTAAATGCAGCGATCCACGAGAAGCGTCCAGAATTGGTGAATCGTAGAGGCGTCGTCTTTCACCATGATAACGCTAGGCCGCACACATCTCTACAACAAACCCGGCAAAAATTATTGGCGCTAGGCTGGGATGTCTTACCACATCCTTCGTATTCTCCAGACATTGCACCATCAGATTATCATCTGTTCCGCTCCCTTCAAAATTCCTTGAATTTGGAAAGCACCTCGTTTCTGAAGAAGCTGTCAAACAACACTTGGATGGCAAAAGATAATAGATAACAACGGCCAATACATAATTGATTAAAGTTATTACCTTCTATAAAAATTATCATCGAACATTTATAAGTAAAAAACCGCACGGACTTATTGGCCAACCCAAATAATTCGTCGATATTCTTATAATCTAAAATAACGTAAAATCATCGAAAAATTACATGATAGATATTTAACGGATAGTTTTAAGATACATTAGAAAAATTGGAAGTGGCTTTTCGACGCTTTTACAATATTCTTTTTGATTGCCTCTTCAGGATATTTCTGTTTGCTTACCTCTGTAGCAAAATTTCCTGGAGATAGGAAATAAGCCAAATTGCAACGGCAAAATGAGAATGTCGAAAGCGATAGGAAGACAAAGAAATACAGAAATTTAACAGTCAAACTTACTACTAAATCTCTGTACTGATTTGGTCGTGATTGTTACGAAAATAGGTATATTAAACGCGTTTTCTATTTATCATGAAATTCGCTAAATTATAAGTCGAATTTGGCCATTCTTATCACTTCAGATTTTAATTTGTATGACTAAATGTAACCTATAACTAAATAAATATCATGATATGACCTCAACGATATTTCTTGCACAAAAGCATTTTGTAGTCACCATTTGGCTAATTAGGAGCCGCAAAGTAGTAGCGAACTTGTGGGCGGATTAATTAATCGTTCTGTCATCATGGCGATACAATAATGACTATGAGATCAATTCAGAGAATGATTCGAAGAAATTGTAATAGTGTTTGGAGTTTATATGAATCATGTAAGTATACATTAAATAAAATGTTTAATATATTTTTATATAAAGCGTCACTATATATATAATGTGTTTTATGCATAATAAACACACTTAAATAGCTTGTTGAGAAAATATTTAAAAATCGACTGTGAGTAATTGGATCATCGCATGCAAGTTGAAAAAGAATGAATATCGTATACACTAATATATCTAAAAATTACTATAAAATTTTTTTTAATTATATATTTATTCGCTCTTATAGCAAGAGATAAGAACATTAAACTTTTGTGACGATTACACTTTATCATGCAATATAACTGCATTTATGCTTTTATAGAATATTTGCGTTGCGGTGTATAGCAATAAGTAACTGTATGTAACAATTTTATTTAAATATTTTAATGAAATGTATTTAAGAAATAATAATTTTAAATATCGCATGTATTTAAAATTATGTTTAAAAGTATGTTAATTTGTTTAAATAAAAATGCAAATCTCTCTCTCTATTTATTTTTGCTTCGCCTTCAATATCCTTCAGGATACCGTTACTAGTGCAAATTACATTTAGTCTGAAGTCTGAAATATCGCGTGTATGTGATAATTTTTAAATATATGATTAATAGTAATTTTTGAATTATATCTATGTTTACACATAAAATTGCGGATGGATATTTCCAGATTAAGAACGAATTAAGTGAACTATATATCAGACTTTATCTTATCGAATTCAATATCCTTCAAACGCAAGTTAAATTTAATATAAAAAATATCGAACACATGATAATTCTCAAAAATATGGGTGTAATAATTTTTGGGCAATATCTGTTTTTGCATATAAAATTGTAGACTCATACTTCCAGATTTTCGTCCCTATTTAATAGTGCAGTATATAGTCTACCTTTATCAGCATCACAACTCAAAATATAGGTTGATAATGAATAGTTGTCAGATAACGCTCAGATTAACTCTCTAGTGAGTTTTTTCGAGAGATCGAAAGTGAGCTACGTCACAACGACGAAGAGGGGATATCTCTTGATAGGAAGATGAATAAAAGAGGAATTCAGTTCGCCCGCAAGAACTGCGGGTTGGTGACTGTAACAGCGTATTACCGTTGACACCTGTTCCGTCTGTGTAGAATTCTTCAAATTGTAAGTAGAACTTACCCACTTATATTATTCAAACTGTTTCAAGATTGTAAGATATTGTAATATTACATCAAATATCTCACGTAAGAGAATTTTGTAGTTACCGCCCGATTAATTAGTGGCCGGCAGATGCGTGATGCTTTGTGGAAGCGAATTAATTAGTTACATATTTATCACCATGACGAAGCATTAAAAACGACAAAATTGATTCGGATAATTAATTTGGTATAATCGCCGCATTCAAAGAGTATCACGTTACAGCAAAAAGTATAATTCGGAAAGGAAACTCAATAATGACGTGTTTCATCAATATCGAAATTGTGTATTTTATAAAGCATAATAAATCCTATAATTAATAAAGTAACTATGTATAAAAATTCCGAGAACTGTAATGTCATGCCAATTAAACATATATTTCTTTTTCTTATGCAGAAAATTTTGCTCCAAAATTGTCTCAACGAATGTCAACGAACGTCAAAAGTCGTGGCTCGATATAGGTTTACTATGTTTGCAAGCAAATTAACTTTGTCGATCTTACGATCAGCTAAATGTAATTTGACAAGTATTCGGCAAATGAGTGCTGCAATTAATACCGACTGCGTAAAATCTCTATTGTACAAAGAATACGGCGAACCTGTTGAAATTCTTCAAGTAATGACGCAAACGATGGAACAACCAGCGGGCGATCAAGTATCTGTAAAATGGTTACTATCCCCGGTGAATCCAGCCAATATAAATACGATAAAAAAAATATCCTAGCAGGCCTCCTCTACCAGCGGTACCGGGAAATGAAGGAGTTGGAGAAATAGTTGCGGTTGGCTCTAATGTTAAAGATTTGCATGTTGGAGACAGGGTGGTGTCAAATATAAATAGAAATTTTATGTAAATAGATAAATATAATCACGCTCGTATGTATCAAATACTAAAATGAAAAAGGCCAATAAAGGAGCAACATTATTGCTCCTTTATTGGCCTTTGCCATTTTAGTAGAAGTTCTACATTTCCAGATTTACATCATACAATCTGTTTGAAAGTTGCAAAAAGAAAAAGCAAAAAGGTTGCATAACAATGAGAATACTATATGCTATATTTAAAAATGTTTATATGTGCAATATTTCTAGTTATGTATTTAGTTTGATAAGAAAGATAAGAAAATATGACTTGTAACGATTACGTATAAGGTAACTTATACTATTACAGATTAAGAGTTTGCGGTGTTTAGCATATAACAATTTTTTTTAAAATAAATGGTTTTTTTATAGTCAGTAGCTTTTTATAATTATACTCGGACTTTTATCAAACTGTTTAAAATTGATGACAATTTTAATCCAAATCCAAACTTCAATTTTAAATTAAATGATCAAATATAATACCGATCAAGATTGGTTTTAAAGTCTGTGGTTTAAATTTTGATTCACGTATATTTAATAAAGCCTAGAATTAAATATCGATAAAAAATAAATTTAAAGCTAAAAGTTCATCTCAGTAACTAAAACTAGTTTAAAGAAATCAAAAAAATATTGGAGCATATTATCTACCGTTGAGATATCCTCATGATCCTAGCATTATAATGACGATAAAGACAAAAATAATTAACAAGTGCTCTTCTTTCAGCAGCATGCCTTCCTACAAGCTGATTTATTTTCCCGTCACAGCATTGGGCGAGCCAATTCGATTCCTATTCAGTTATGCTGGCATCAAATTTGTGGATGAACGTTTCAATGAGGAAGATTGGCCAAAACTAAAACTCAGTATGTACAACTAATTTAATAACACATGTCGCTGTTAGCGATCACCTGTCGCGAACTAATAGAGCTCGATAATTCCTGAAATCTGGTTTACGTACAGGAGTTGACGTGGCAAAAAAATAGTTTTTACATTAACTTCTGGAGCGCCGACTGAATCGTTGTAACATTCTCCTTTATTTCTACTAGACATAAATTATTTTGATGTAGGGATTATGCCACATTTAATACATAATAAGACATTCATTTTTTCATTTAGCTTTCTTGTAAACGACAGAACTGGAAATAAATGTTAGCTCTCTCTAAAAGAACCTTCCATTTCTCATTACGTACATACGTATTGCGATATATTGTACAGGAAAATTGATATTGTTATGTAAATGCAATTCGTTGTATTCTCACTTAACGAAAAGCATATTGTCATTTCATTGCATGGTTTAATGGTAAATAGATTTCCTCCGTTGATGTAAGGAAATCAATTTCGTGTCGTTCAAGTTAGTCAATCAATTATCGAAATACCATAAGATTTGAGAGACAAAAGATCTTCCCTTCAAAACATCATAAAGCTATATAAATGGCTGCAGAGCTTTTTTATGAGTTATATAGCAGAAAAAAATTTGTCATAGAAATAAAAATTAAGATTTGTATTATCAAACTCAGACTTAGAAATGTAAATGTGCGCTTATCTTTAATTGTGTGTAATTATTTTTAAACGTCAAAACTCTTGATGTATGCATATAAACAATTACTGTAGGTATAAATTCCAATTTTTGTAGATTTAAATTAACAATAATCTAAATGGATTTTCTATAAACATTATTCAATTTTAACAGCATCTTGTATTCATGTGCCTTAATATAATTTTTCAGCTATGCCATTCGGCAAGGTGCCCGTGCTTGAAGTAGACGGAAAGAAGATCGATCAGTCCGTAGCTATTTGCCGTTACTTAGCGAAGCAATGTGGTCTTGCCGGAAAAAACAATTGGGAGTCTCTAGAAATCGATGCGACCGTTGACACCATACACGATTTACGTGCCAGTGAGTAGATAACATACTGCTTACGCTATATTTTTCCGATTACTTTATTTACCAGGAGCGGTGATTTACTTTTGAAACAGATTTGAACCACAACATTAATAAGTTCACATTTTGATAATGCGAACGAATTTATTTTAAAATAATGATATATATACAAGGAAGAAATAGGTTTTTCTACATTCGCGTTATAAATTCGATTTACTGAAATAATCGAATGTTATTATCTTATTTGTCTTATCATTCTTTTGCTTGCATTAGATATCGCTGGTTTCCACTATGAAAGTAACAAACAAGCTAAAGAAGAGAAACTTAAAGCTGCCAAAGAGACGGTGCCGTATTATTTGGAGCGTTTGGACGCTCAGGTGAAGAAGAATGGCGGTTACTTTGTCGGCGGTACTCTGACGTGGGCCGATCTCACTTTCGTCGGTCTTTTGGACTACTTGAACCACATGATGAATGAGGAAATCGTCGAGAAGTATGAGAACCTGAAACAACTACAAAAGAAGGTTGAGGAATTACCGACTATCAAGAGCTGGATCAAGAAACGTCCGTCGACTATGTATCAGAATTAATTTGGATAGTTTCATAAAGTAATGATTTATTTTTCGACAAAATTATTATTATTATTATTTGTTGACGTTTGATTTAAATAAAGTATTGATATTCTCTTTTCGGAAAATCAAGTTTATATTCATGTACGGCAAGCATGTATAAGAGATTCAGGAAATACGCATTGGAGATACAAGTGTATATTTTATCAATCGTTGAAGGCTTGTTGCATGTATCGTCACATGAGAAAAATTTTATTATGCTGTATCTAATTAAAGCTTGAACTATTCTTTTTATTGTGTAATTTTGTACCTCAATAAATCGCTACTTTTATAATTATTTTTTGTTGATTTTTCTTTTCTTTTTCGTATTCACAAAGCTTACTTTTTCATTCATTAATCAAAATTCGTCGATATTCTTTTAATCTAAAATAACGTAAAATCATCGAAAGATTACATATTTAACGATAAATATTTAACGGATAGTTAAGATACATTAGAAAAATTGGAAGTGGCTTTTCAACGCTTTTAAAATATTATTTTTGATTGCCCCTTCAAAATATTTCTGTTTGCTTACCTCTGTAGCAAATTTTCCTGGAGATAAGAAATAAATCAAATTGCAAAATAAGAATGTCGAAAGCGATAGAAAGACAAAGAAATACAGAAATTTAACAGTCGAACTTACTACTAAATTCCTGTACTGATTCGGTCGTGATTGTTACGAAAATATGTTAAACGCATTTTCTATTTTTTGTGAAATTCGCTAAATTATAAATCGAATTTGGCCATTCTTATTACTTCAGATTTTAATTTGTATGACTAAATGAAACATTATAAATATCATGATAAAAATTCGCTAAATTATAAGTCGAATTTGGCCATTTTTATCACTTCAAATTTTAATTTGTATGACTAAATGAAACCTATAAATATCATGATATGACCTCAACGATATTTCTTGCACAAAAGCATTTTGTAGTCACCATTTGGCGAATTAGCTGCCGCAAAGTAGTGGCGAACTTGTGGGCGGATTAATTAATCGTTCTGTCATCTTGACGATACAATAATGACTATGAGATCAATTCAGAGAATGATTCAAAGAAATTGTAATAGTGTTCGGAGTATCGCATTAGAACGATAATATGTATATTTACCTAGAATTATTTGAAAGAGAGAAATGCATCAATAATGGTGCTTTAAAATGGTCTGATTCTTTCAATGCATACTTTATAAAGCATGAATTGCGAAAAATAGGAATCACATTGTTTAGAAAGTCCAAGAATTGCGTAATAGCATGTCAATTGAACGTGCATTTCCCGTAT